CTCAGAAGAAATACTACACAAAAGCTGAACTAACAAACTACGCATGCTATACATTTGAGAGACATAACACCAGCCACACACATGAAAATGTGACGTAACTGAATCAGCAACATAAACTTTATTGGCTAATGTGGTCTTACCAATCCCAGGCATACCTACAATGGGAACAAAATCCAACTGCTTTGATCCACTCCTAAGTCGATCAATGATAGATTTCACCTTGTCATCGAGACCCACCAGATCTTCATTGTGAATGGTGGCAATAAGTTGTGATGGTATGTGAATGGACGTCTTGTTAACTCTCTGGATTTGACCATTTTGGATCTCCAAAGCCTCAATCTTCAGAAGATTGATATCTCTAGCAACAGCATCCAAAGAATCTTCACATTTATCACTAACTAGTGTTGAGTCAATCAATAACTCTGCCTTGTTTGCAGCCTCCATAACATGACTCCAAAAAGCTTGGAGTTTTCCATTCTGATAGCGCTGCTCCTTGATATTCACCAGGACAGGTCTCAAGAATTCAAGATCTTTTTCGATCCTTTGGATTCTATCCTGTAGAAAAACAATTGACTCATTAGCCTCATCACACCTTGCTAGTTCCTTGAGATTTTTTAGGAAAAAATCCATACAGCCCAACTCATTGGATCTAGGATAATTAAATAATGAATGTGGTGATGTTAGTGGATAATTGTGCGCAAGCTCTGCCATCATATACTTGAGAACTTTGTACAAATGAAACAACACAAGATCTGTTTCCTTGGAAAAGCCTTCTTTGATTTCGTTGACAGAAAGGGAGAAGATCAGAGTTCCTGCATCATGGACCACAACTCCAATAAGATCCTTAATTTCATCGCCTAGTTTCTTCTCCTGTTCAAGAAGGATACTCAAGTATTTTACTCCTTGATGGAGTTTTAGCATTTGATCCTTTTCCAGAACCTGAAAACTAGCACAATATCCTAGAAGACCCGTAAGATAATCTAGGAGAGAATCAATAAGTTCGACTAGCACTCGATGCTCATTCTGCTCAAGGGCTAAACCATATGATGTTCTTGATTGTTTCTTTGAAGCTATCAGGACATGCATGCAAGTTTCTCGGACTTGGGGACCAAGAGGATCTATATTCTCATCCATCAGGTCATAAATCTCATAGTCCGTTTGACTGGGCACTTGTTCTTCATCACTGTCAAAGCAACATTCAAAAATCGCGCATTCAACCACAACTGCAGCGTGAGTCAAGAGATCTGCCAATTGCGTACACTCAACACCTCGCATTATTGCAAAGCGAATGAGACTCCTTAAAAGCTTTAGCTCGTGTCTCATAGTATCCTCTAACTCAATTAAAGGATGCCGTAGAGCCTCCAAAAGGGATGCAATAAGATCCACAACTAGTTGTGGATCTCCCGGTGGGTAATAGTCAAAGAAGATGACCAAATATCTGTCTTAAGAAATGACCAAATATTTTCCGAGGATCTGGATGTTGCACTTAATACTATTTGCTTTCTATCTGACTCATCAGAACCTTCGTATAAAAGATAAGCAGACTGAAGATCATGACCCATCTTAATAACCATATCTTGAATTCTGAAGCAAATAGTACTATGTGACAAACTTTCAGACAAAATATTACCCTTGTCTTCCTGATCATGCTCTAAAAGCGCTTTACCCTTGTCCTCCTGATCATGCTCCAAAATCCTTTTACCCATGCCCTCCTGATCATGCTCCAAAAGCGCTTCACGGTTCCTTATCCTCCTACACTTCTTGACATACAGAAAAAAGGTTTTCAAGAATCTTATGTTTTCCTTCAGATCCGTGATATCGAAGAGCCGGAAATCGACGGACTTCTCAACCTTGCATAGAAAATCTAAAGCAAGATCAAAGCAACTAGTGCCAGTGCTGGAGGACATGTGATGCGACCGCAGATAGTCAACTAAAGCAAAATCAATGAAACTGGTGTTACTGCTGCAGGGAATCTCCATTATTGTATCTTCTTTTCCCTCTGGTATCAGACTTCTACCTGGTTTAGCCACTGAATAAAATTAGTTCAGGATCTACACTTTCTCATCTAACAAAATAGCCAACAAACAACAGGCAGGACCTTTTTTTTAACTTTTTGTGTTAATATTGTGAGACGCTATTTTGTTCATAGAAGATATCGTGCAGCAGAAGTAATAAAAAGTTAAATAAGTGTGACTACACTTCCCCAGCTACTTTAGTGGTGCCAAAAGAAGACCAAGATCAACAGATAAGTTACAATAAGGTACTGATCGATATAGTCCTTTGTTAGTGGCCACGTGTGTACCAATTTGGTCGCTTACTTTTTTTATGACCAAATTGAATTTTGCAGTCACGGTTCCTTCTCCTCCAACATATTTTCAAGCTCAATTTTGCAGTCACATGACCAGTGAGATTACGACATTCATGTAATGGTTTCTGCATTAACTATTCTGAATAATTAATTATCTCTCATCAATTGTATGACAAATTATTATGTAAGACAAATTATTACACTTAATATAGATAGATTAGAGTTTTTTGAAGTTTAACAACTGAATGGACACATTGAAGTTGTGCTTTTAGCCTTTTACAATAATACTTAGTTCCACTTGGACGGCGTTCTTTGATTATATACTCCCTTTGTCCCATAAAGATAGGTCTGTTTCTTGCCTCACGTAAATTAAAAAAATTAGTTATTGTAGTTATAACAATTATTCTTTGTTCTTACTTTCCACAAAATATCCCTTATTAATATTAGATTATTTGTTCAAAGTAAGAGGCACGTATTACTATATTGTTTTTGGAATTTAGAGTACTTTAGTTTCTTAATGCAAGAGTCAATCTAATTAATGTTACATGTTTGACTAAAATGAATAACAAAAATAAAACTGCCAAACAATCAAACATTTTAATTTGGAGCCATTAGAAGGCAACTAAAATATTCAAAAATTTATAATAATTATGTACATTAAATATGGGTATGTTAGTATAATAACAAACTAACTACTCTTTAAAAAAGGAAATAGGCATATAATTTGGGACAGGCACAAAGGAAAGTGAGCCTATTTTTATGGGATAGAGGGAGTATTAAATACTGAGCTTCTGTTCAAAAAAATACCAAGTTTTTCTCCTTCTCTTTTACTATTTTTTTTCCTTCAACGGCTTTAACAACTTATCTATTGCCTAGTTTTTCTTGGAATTCAAACTTTGACTTACTCAATAAAATTCTGCCTTGATCTCCAAATATAATTGCTTAAATGTTGGAGAAATATTTATGATCTCTCCTGAAATTTATCGTCTCCTTTATCAATTGAATTAGTTTATGCTTCTTTCCTTTTGCCTATGTGTAAAGGCACATAAGTTTCTGTTCTTTTTCTTTCACTTCTTTGTTGAATTTTATTTCAATTTTTTATAGCAGAGCTGAAAAAAATTCTTGAAATAAAGTCAAAAGGGACAAACAGAGCCAACATAAAAATAAATTTGCATGTAGAATGAGATAATTCTTGGTTTGTTGAATAAATGCCTACTTTGGTTTTTGTACTTTATATAAATGAATTAAGGAAAAATTGTTCAAAATACCCCTCACATTTTGTTAAATGAATTTTTTTTGTTTTTTACTTTTAAAATGTTATTTTTACATCTTTACAAATTTAAATTAGCAAGATTTAGTTCCAGTGGCGACTTCTAGTTGCAGCCTTAGGTGGGTCTAGGGGGCGGAGGGAGGGAGGGGAGGAGGGAGGAGGGAGAGAAGGAAGGAGAAGAAGAAGGAGAGGGAGGAGGAGAAAACAAGCGGAGAGAGGGTTTGAAAGAGAGGAGAGAGCGGGACGAGGAGGTAGGGGGTGGTGGCGATGGGTGATGCTGATGGTGGTGGTGGTGGATGGTGTATACTTTTAAAAAATACCAAAATAATTGTAAATTATAAAAATATTCTAAAATACTTAAAAAAAAAACCTCCAAAAATATATCTAAAAACACCTTCAAAAACATTTACACTAAAGTTTTACATATATACAGGGACAATAAAAGTTTTTGAAAAATACCCGCAAAAAAAAAACTAATTCAAACAGAGCCTTTCTTTTTCTAAACAAATTCCTGAATCGTTAGCTAGCTAAAAAGAGATAAAAGGAAAAAATGTTAGTTGCATGCAGAGAATTGTAAACACTAAGGGAGTTTTCGCTTTTTCCCAATTCCAAATCTAGTGTTTGGAGTGCAAATTGGCCTGTGGATTTAGGGTTGAATTACAATTGTATATGGCCCAGTTTAAAGCAGTTTTCTTGAGAGATTGAAAAATTAGAAAGTTTTCAAAATGTCATGTTCTCTATTTTATTAATCTTCTTGGGATTAAATAAGTTACATTGCACTGAACATCAGGATCACAAGCCTATATATTGTTAATGTTTCTTTTTTTTTTTAATTTTTAACTTTGCAACTTCTCCAAATTTAAAAACTTGTTAAGAAGACTAACAATTTTACTTCTTTTTTCATGTGAGATAATATGAAACAGTAAACCATCAAAATCTTTTTTTTTTTCTACATCCGTGGAGAAATAACAACAACCTACTTGTAAAATAAACACAGTGGAGGTGAAGAAACATATTAATTTCATAGTTACTCACCATACAATATCACAAGAAATGTTATCACATAATTGCTGCAGTAATTTAAGAATACATGTATTCATATAAAAAATTGATATATCTAATGCTGAGTCAAACAAAAAAGCTGGAATTTCCTCTTATTTCATCCTTAATTTCATCGTGTTTCTTTCCATGCTATGAGGTTGGGGGGAAATTGCTTTATTAAACTGAAACTGTACGTCCAAGGCTTAAGTGCATATGCAAAAAAAAAATGTTACATATATTTTAACCATTAAGTGGAAGAATACAATCATCAGCCTTAGTATATACTAGCAGAAAAAAGTGTCAAGAACACATGGAAGCCATATATATTTCAACCAAGAATAATGTGTGAAAAAAAAAAAGAAAAAGAAATTCAGCACTTACTTTGGAGAGAATGAATACTCCGGGAACAGGTGATCTGTTGAATCTGCAGAAATTCCATTTATATGGTGAAGCTACATTCAAAAAAAAAAACTTTAAATTAAAAAAGAAAAAAAAAACATAATTCAGCACTCACTTGAGCGAAAGTGAAACCTCTGGCAATAGTGGGTGATCTTGTGAATACGCAAAAAATTCCCAGTATATCATGCACCTACCCACACAAAATCAAGTTTAAGAAAGAAAAAAGAACATTATGATGATTTCAACCAAAATAAAAAGAATTCTTATATGCAAGATTTTTTGCATGTAAAATGGTAAACTAGGACATCCACAAGAGTGCAATCCCATTTGCTTCATCATCACTTTATTATCACTTTTTTTCATTATATCACTCACTATAGATTACACTCTACAGAGTATAATAGCATGAACCCACATCAAATCACACATTTATTTTAATAATCCACAATACATATCCCGTAAATAAATAAATTTATTTTCTAAAAAGTAATTTCATTATTTTTGAAAAATAATTTATTAACTTTTGGTGAAATTTTTACTTTTCAAATTATTAATACATATTTTTTGGAAAAATATTAATGATTACTTTTCAAATTTTTTTATTTTGGCAAAATAATATTATTAATTCATGAAAATAATACATATTTTTTTTATCTCAAATTAATACATCGTTATTTTCAAAAAAATAATTAAGTAATCATTAAACAAATACCCAACACTTAAAACGTAAATAAATCATAATCATCATAACTCAATTAATAATGATCCTCTATTTAATTAATTTAACCCCATTACATAACTTAAATCAATTGAAGTAGAAGTAAGATTACATAATAAATACTAATTTTAATTATCATTGCCTTCGAACCACTCCCAAATATTACTGTTGCCATGATGGAATAGGAGAGTGAGAAATTGAAAAAATATTAACAATATTTATGGACAAAATTTTGAGGATTGAAATCAAGACAGATATTACCATTGCAATGGTGCCATTATTTTGTTTTACCATTGCAAAATGGACAAAATGCACCTTCAATCTTTTGGATGAAACGGACCGTTGGAAAGCTTTTGAATAAAATGGACAAAATGGGTAATATTTTGACGGTTGAAAGCTTTGAGTATGGGTCCAATAGCTTTTGAGCGCCTCTTTTGTGTGAATATTGGTTATGCATGCAATACTCATTGTACTCCCACAATGATACGAGACACAATGCATAAGTGTAATAGTCTATTACACCCTCTATTACACACCATTGTTGATACTCTTATAACGGACAAAGTAGTAGTAGCAACTAGTAAACAATAGATACACCCCCATTAAAACAATAGTCCCTCTGAGTTTAAAGCTTTACAATCCTGAGCTACTTTGTTAAAACCGAAGGGTCACTTTCCATGATCCATGGCTGCCATTACACAATTGTGTACAATTAAGTATAGAGGCCACTGGGCTCTTGGTCCAGCGGTCAAAAGCTTGGTAGTGCGGGAGGTTCGACCCTTGCCTCCCACAAAAATTTGTCATAATATGTGACGGTTTTCAGTGGCCATTTTCGATAGAGTTTCTACTCACATATGAATCCTATCGTTGCGAAAAAAAAAAAGTATAGAGATTTCTTTTTTTCATTTCTTCCAATTTCCAATTCTAGGTACACTTGATATGCACATGATCCATGGCTGACAAACTTTGTATTGTTCCAAAATTATTAACTATGTTTTATGCATCAGACAAGTATTAAATTCTCCTAACTATTACTTGTTTGTGTTTCTAAAACTTGGGATAAAAATACCTAAAATTTAGGGGTAAGAAAATAGAATAGCATAAGTTTGGCAGATTTAGCATGCAGGGGTGTAAACTTTCAATGTGTTAAGCTAACTTTTTTTTATGTCCAAAAGTGTATTAAATAGCATTTGTTTGGGGCAATTGAGTTGAGGCCATTATAGTGATAATCTATTTTATTGGCTACATTATTACCAGAGGAAAATAATTTGGCCATTAAATTAGTAAAATGACCGGCCGGGCACTAGCTACTCATTGGGTCAAGGAGCATCCTGACAGATTATAAGGTGTCGGTAACATTATCGTAAATGTATTACAAAACAAAAGTGTAATTAACAAGCATTCTTCTAGCGTTTTAACACGTCAACTAACAATTAATGTATATTATATATATTTTTTCCAAACTTTAGATTTTGTGCCAAATTTGTATTTCAGTAGTTATAAAGAAAGACAAATAAAAAGAATGGTTCATTACACACGAAAATGAGGTTATGGGATGAAGTTAGAATTAGGGTATATATACAGTAGGAGATTAGTTGTAAATTACCCTAAAATGATCAAGTCGGTATATTTTAAAATTTCTTGTCTTAATTGCCAAGATAATTGCCAAGAAATAGTACAGAAAATTGTCCTGAAGAAATCATTAGCACATTGGTATAAACTTAGACAGTTTTGGATTGAATTTTATACAAATTTCATTATATAAGTTTACAAATTCAAGTTTACACCCATTTTAAACGACTTTACACCAAAAGAGGTTCGAACTACGACAATTAGATTGAACTAGACAACTTCCAACTGTGAGACCCTATTGTTACATATATAAGTATGGTCTGGCCAATCAGTGCACATTGAATGCTCGCTAAGAGGAGTCTCATATGTTAATTTTTTTAAGAAAAAGTATAGTTAATTTGAAAAAGTACATAAAATACAGGAGGTCCAATATTTGTGATTGTGTATATTCACATGGAAAGTCAGGTATAATTTTTGGCACGTTAACAAGTATCCATGCCTGTTAGGACAAAAATCCCTATATGTAGACCCAATTCAAACGAGCTTTCGCCATGTAAAGACATTGGTTTTTGGAGAACTTTTAGATGTTATTATAGCAATAAAATTTTATTGAAATAATTTTCCTTTTTAAGATGAATTGAAATTGGAAATTGCTTAAGGTTTACTCTTTAGGATTAACCCAGAGCTTACTAAAAAAGGATAGTAAAAAAATAAGCGAGACCCAATAGAAAAGTTCCCAATAGATTATTCTTTGTGGAGTAACAAATGTTTTTAGTTTTTTCGAAAAAAAATTCAAACAGGATTCCAAGAAAAACAAGAAACCATCCATCCAGCTATTAGTAACAGATGTCTTCAAAAACTAAATATATTTCAAAGAGTAACAATAATATGACTTATGGTCCCAGAGTATTACTACTTTCGTAATCGGCTAATTTGGGAAGATTATGATCATTAGTGAAACAAGAAAGAACTACAAGGATTCTTGCGCGCAATTTTGGGTTGAAGACAGGAGACTTGCCATGAAAAATGAGAATAAATCCTACCAGTGGATTTAAATGTCTTCTTCATCCTTTGTGGCAAATGTATGTGAGATAAGTTAGTATGTGCATGTCATTATTGATGTAGTTCCATTTAAAAGTTAATTTGGCAGAGTAATGCAGAGAATATAGAATTGAAGTATTATGAGATCTTTATATAATTATCTAAATTTGACTTTTTTTATTTTATCTAATCGATTTCTCTATCAAGGTGTTGAGCTTCTCAGACTAATCTAAAATTGTCTATTCTTTGGCTAAAAAAAGTTCCTCAAGTGATTATTATGGATATTTAGCAATACGTACGAGGCACTTCAGTTTAAGCTTTCGTTTCTATGAGTTCTTATTAGATACTTTAATTAGAAAATCTATATTTTGATTACCAAATTTGCTGCGTTAGGATGCTCATGTAATTTGACTTATTCTAGGTGAAAATCTGAAGGTGTTTCAATTGTAGAATTTCTACTTTAATTAATACCAATTTGTACGAAAAAGGTAGTAAATTTATTTAGAGAAAAAATATTGCATCATCAACTATTAGCCTCTAACTCTAACTGAGAAGGAGCACTAAGAAAAAATAAGTTTAGAAGCTTTTTCTATAATTACTTTTGCGGTTATATATTACTCACACGGTCCGATTAAATATTTTTTACATCTATACTTTATCATGAATGTGAGGAATGGAGTGACACAAGGCCTTAATATATCTAGCACTGATTTGTTCCATACCAAGAGCAAAATTAGCAGAGTTAGATCATCTTTTCCGACTTCAAAATGAATCAACTCAACCGATGATTCCTTCAAACATACAGAAAATATAAACAGCAGGGGAAATGGAATAATTGATTAACTTATTCTGGTTCTTTTTTTTTTCTTTTTTGATTTCCTTGAATTTAAAAATACCTGTTGTTGATGAGCACCGTAATCAGCTCTGTTTGAAGAAATTGACTGCAGAAGCTCCGGCAACCGGCAGGAACCAGCTTCGCCACCACCCTAACAAACCGCTGCTTACTTCACTCCTGCAGTTTAATCTCAGAAAATTTATCAAAATAAATGCAAATTTTCGGGCGATTTCTTTGAAAAATATACTACAACAATACAAGCAAATTTGTGAGAGTCACTACTGAAAGTCAGAGACGAGATAGTTCACAGTAGCAGGCCTTCACTTTCTTGCCCACAAAACGAAAAAACAGAGAGGTTGCTTTTCACTGTTCTTGCCCCACAATGATGCTCTCTGTTGTTTTTCGACAAGACTTTGTCGCCCGTTACCGCGGAAGCATGAGGCGTTCTGTGGGCCTCAGTAATAATTAGTGCTATTTGGGCAGGACCTTCACAATATTATCAAGGTTTTTTCAATTTCTTATTTAGAAAACACAATTGAAAGTTACAATAATATCTCCACCATGATTTTTTTTTGGCAAAGGATTATAACAACACCACATACGCTGAATATAAGGGGGCGCTTGGTTCAAGCTTAGGAATTGGAATTGTAATTGAAATCATACAAAAAAATTTAGTATGAGTTTTGGACAAAGGTATGATTACAAATGGGGGTACTTGGTAAATATTGGTAAGAAATGAGTATCAAATTTAATAATCAATTTTTTACCTTTAATTTCTTTTTTCTTTTCATATCTTTCTTTTTTTTCGTTCAAATGCTTATCCCACATACCCATCCACCATATATATATATTCATATGTAAATATTAATTTTCTATTTAAAATATATTTATAAATATTTATAAATATATATATATTTATATAAATATATAAATATATTTATTTCAATTTTGTTTTATAATATGTATATTAATATATATTAATATGTATATTTCAATTATGTATATTATATATATATATAAATTATTGTAATATTAATATGTATATTACAATTATGTATATTACATATATTATATCAATTGAAATAAATAATATATATTTATATATAAATATTAATTTTCTGTTTAAAATATATTTATTTATATATTTATATAAATTTATAAATATATTTATTTTAATTTTATTTTATAATATGTATATTAATATATATTAATATGTATATTTCAATTTGTATATTTCAATTATGCATATTATATATATAAATTATAGTAATATTAATATGTATATTTCAATTATGTATATTATATATATTATATCAATTGAAATAAATAATATATATTTATATATAAATATTTTTGTTTAAAATATATTTATATATATTTATAAATTTATTTATATTTATATTTATATAAATATATAAATATATTTATTTCAATTTTGTTTTATAATATGTATATTAACATATATTAATATGTATATTTCAATTAATATTTATATTTTATTATATATATAAATTATATTAATATTAATATGTATATTAGATATATTACATCAATTGAAATAAATAAATATATATATATATTTATATATAAGTATAAATATTTATAAATATATATTTATATATATAATTATATAAATATATAATTATATAAATATATATTTCAATTTTTTTATAATATGTATATTAATATATATTTATTTATATATGTATATTAAATATATATTAATATACATATAAATATATATTAATATACATATTATAAAACAAAATTGAAATACAAAATATTATATATATAAATAAATAAATATTAATATATAGAAACAAAGCCAATATATATTTTTAAAAAATCCCAAAAATAAATTTTTTTTAAGATTTTGGAATCAAATGTGGGATTCATCAAAATCCTCCAATCTACTTGGGTATTGAGAGTGGCTGATTTTTCATGAATCATTCCAAGATTTCAAAACCTATACCCATTAGCCAAGCAACAATTTTGGGGCTCAATCCAATTCTTGATTTCTATACCCTCCAACCAAGCACCCCCTAACTTTCTCAGTCATTACTTTTAAATATGTTAAATACTCACCAAAGTATGGAAATAAGAGATACGAAAAAATGACAACAAAAGACTTAAAAATTTTAGTGGGCTCATAGCATTTGTAACATTCCTACTTTTTTGCAACTGTTCATGATACTTCTTTTAGTTTGGACTATTGAACTTGTTTACTTTAGTAACCTTTTTTTTTTTTTTGCTTGATTGGTGGCAATTGGCTCTCGCTTATGTGGAGTTGTAATCCCTTTTGGTTCTTTTCTTTTTGTCCTTTTTTTGGGGTTAAATGATTTGAGGGCTAATTTTTTTTTCATCTAGTCATAAAAGGTTGATTTTGTTTTTTTTTTTTTGGCTTATGTGGAGTAGTAACCTGTTTTGGTTTTCTATATATTTTTGGTTAAATGATTTAAGAGTTAATTTTTTTTCTTGCTGTCAGGGAGAGGGAGAGGGAGGGGGAGGGGGAGGGGAGGGGGCAAGGTGAAGGGATAGAAGGGAGAGGGGGCGGCGGGGAAAAGGGGGAAGGAGGAGGATATGTGGGGAGGAAAGGAAGAGGAAGGGAGGGAGGGGGGGAGGAAGGAGGAGGGGAAAGAGAGAGGATGAGAGGAAGAGAAATACAAAAAGAAAGAATAAAAAAAAAAGATAAAATGGTGGGGAGAATGAGGTGCTGGCAACAATGCTAGTGGCGATTAGGGGAGGCGGAAGGAGAAGGACGAAGAAGAAGAAAGAAAGAGAGGACAAAATAGAAATATGAAAGTTTTTCACATATTCTCTAAACATTCAAATACACAAAAGTTTTTATACAAATTATATAATAAACTATATTAAAGTTTTATTCAAATTTCCGGAAAAACACATCATCGAAATGGACCCAATTTGCTATTTCTAGTGCCTCCTGAAATTTTCTTTGAAACATTAAAGTCTCGTCATATTTGTAGTTTCTGATTTTTTTTAAAACTTGCTAGAGTGTTTATAGGTAATTATTATAAAGAGTTTTAAAAAAAGGAAAGTCATAAGTATTGCGAAGGCAAAATGTCATGAAAATTTTCTCCTTTTACTCTAGCTTTCCTACATTTTGGATATGTCATATGTAATTGCAATTATTTTTGATGGGCTTACAATTTGTCAGCTTAGTAACTTTGGCCTTTATTAGTCGTCAAGTCAACCCAAACATTCTCGAATCCTTTTGGTGAAGTTAAGGCTTTGTTAAGCATTCAAGCTGAAGTTAAGAATTTGTTATCAGCGGCGCAGCAGTGTCTTGTGAAGGGTTTCACTCAGTTACATATTGAGATTGATTCTCTTGTTTTGATTAGTATTCTTTTGGGAAAGACCAATTCTCCATCGGGTATCTGCAGAGAGGTTGAAGAATTGCTTAAACTGAAGCATCATTTTGTTGTAGTGTCGCATATTTAAACTGAAGCATTTTTTCTTTTTTGGGGCACGTGCGGTGCAACGTGGCAGCGATATATATCACAAGACTTAATCAAAGAAAGCATTAACTCCACTCGGTAAAATCAAACTTGTACTACTTTTCTACTTTGCATCATAAATGTTAATTTTGGACATTTTGAACTTTAAACTCTTAATTTTTGGATATTTTACATTCTAAACTCTTAAGTTTGTTCCATTTAAATCCAATCAATGACAACATTAGTAGAATTAACAAGATAAAAACTGATGATAGTATACCATTTTGTTCTAGCTATGATCCCTTGACTCATTTTGACCATTTTCAACACATTACCATTGATTTTTATGATCCCAATTAGCAATATTATTAACAAAATTAACAAATAAAGAATGGTGTAAACTAATGACAATGTATCGTTTCGTTCTAACAGTAATACCTTGACTCATTTTAATCACTTTTAGAATATTATTATTGATTTATAGGGCCCTTTATACCGTTAATTTTGTTAACATTGTTATTGATTGGATTTAAACGCTATAAATTTGATAATTTACTATACAAAGTGTTTAAAGTTTAGGATGTAAAGCATCCAAAACTAAATTTTGAGGTGAGTGCCAAGTGGAGTTAGTCCTTATAGGAGAAAGTGGTGTTGATAGATGAGAAAGTGATGGAAAAAAGTCGGCAAAGCACAAGCTCTATGTTGAACAAGAAGTATCCTGATAAGGTATTAAGCTTCCGCCAGATTATGATTCTTATTACAAATTATCGTAAAATGTACTTCAAAATAAAAGTGTAATTGATTGAGTTCTATGGCTCTAACGCATCACCTGAGAAAAAAAAATATTGTATATACATTTTTCAAAATTTAGATTTTGGGCCAAATTTGTATTTTAGTGGTAATAGAGTTATAAGACAAAAAAAAAAGACGAGTTTATCACCAAAAGAAAAAAAAAAGTTAGGATAAAGTGAGAATTAAGGTATCTATATTAGGAGATTAGTTGTAAATTACCTTAAAATGATCAGGTAGGTATTTTTCAAAATTTCTTGTTTTAATTGCCAAGAAATATTGCAGTAAACTTACTAGGTCTCTAACAAATAACTACCAAGGCCGCAATAATTTGTATGTTTGATAGGTTGCATTTTAGTGGGTATTTTGGGCGTTATTGCATAATTAATTGACTGAATATTTTCGTTAATTGGGTGGATTTTACTAATATTCTGTTTTGGGTGCTAATTGCAGGAATGGGTGCCGAAAAGTGCTTAAATTTAACTTTTAGAAGATTCATCGGACGTGGGGCCCGTTTGAGGAGCTGAAGAAACCTAATTGTAATAGATTTTATTTTATTATATTTTGAGGGAGTCTGGCTGCAATTTTAAGGAGTGACAATTTGTAATTTATCTGGGACGCGCGGCTTAGGTTAAAAGGGGGGTTCTTTTTCTCTTTGTTTTGGGGTTTCTTCTTTGGCTCTGGGAGGAGACAAAAACAGCCGCAGCTTTGTAGGGAGAAAGGGATAGCCACTTTTGTTGACTTTGGGGATTCTATGAACTATTGATTTGTTCTTTGACCAAATTGAGAAGTGAAAAACAATTGCAATCTTCCAATCTCTCGTATGTTTTCTTGCGTGAGAGAAGAGAGAAAGTAAAAGTGAGCCGCAATCGTGGACTTTGGTCATTGCTTTTCATTCTGGCTTTGACCGAAGGAAATTGAAGCAATCGTAATCCATTGTCGCTCTTTTCTCTCTTCGGTTGACCGAAGTGTACGAAGGTCAAGTCTTCCGTTTGCCTAGATTAAAGAATTGACAGCTTCCTCCAGCTTTGCCGCATG